TTGTAGTAGTCTTTTCTTTTGGTAGTTGAATTCTCTGGATTCGGAAGTAGTTGGCTAGGATTGGTTTTTCTCCAAGTATGTTTTTCTATTTTCAATCGCTCCTTCCATCTGATTTTTATCATCTATTGTATAGAATTAAGCAAAGTCTTTTAAGTATTCAATTTTTTGGTTAAGATTACCTATAGATTCTTCAATGTGTTTAAGCTCTGACCCTATCACTTGTATTGTTTTAAGTACTTCTGTTAGTGATGACTATAAGTTAATTACTGCTACTGGGTTGCCTGCTGTGAATTTATTAACTTCTCTTGTTGTGTTACTTGTGACTTGAACAAATGTTCTTTTGTTTTGAAATCAGCTTGTTGCTCTATTGAATTGTTCTCAGGCTCTGATTTAGTCATTGTTTACTGTTTTGTTGGTTTGTTTGTTTTGAACTCTTTTGATTTGGTTCGTACTCTCTGGTTTGGATTTTTGGTATAAGCCATTGTATCTTTTTGCTTTTTTCTTTAGTGTTTGTTGCCTTTTTTACTGTTTTGCTTTGATTCTACAATCTTTTGCTAGATAGTCTGGTGTGTTGCAAATGACACACAACTTTGTGTCAGTTTTATGTCAGAAAAGTGTTGTTTTTTTCAATTGTGTTTTTGTATTTTTTGCTTTCTCTTTTGCCTTTGCTGAAGTAAAATTTAAGAAAGTGAATTTTTTTTTTGTATAGTTTCTGTTGCAGAGAATATAGCATAATGCTGCCTTGGTGGATTCAATTATTTTCTGTAAGTCATATTCTGTGGTGTCTAGAGGAAGGTTTGTAAGCTTTAAGACATATCTGTCTCATGCTTATTTAATTTCAAAGATTCTGATATATGAATAAATTCTGAGTAGTTTTCTTTTGAATAGAATGTTCCATCTTGTGCTGATTTTCTTATACTTCTTTTTCAATTCAAATTTAGCTAGTGTGCTTTGCCACATGCCTGTTGTATTCATTCTGAAATTTTTAATTCTTCTATATTAGATAATTCTTTGCCTTACTTCTTGTTGATTGATGTTTAAGGAAATATCCCAAATGCGAATGGTTCTGCTTTTGGCTTTAGTCAGATTAATCTCAGCCCATTCTATTATATGCTTTTCATTATTTTTTTGTAGGATTAATTTATATGCTTTGTGTAGATCTTTTTAATTAGCAAAAAAGACGACAATCATTTTTTCCCTTGGTACTATGCCACCTGGGCTCCCATGTAGAAGTTAAGATAGGTGACTGCCTGCTTTATTGCATTAAGTTTTTGCTTCATTGTGCTATTGAGGTTGGCTGTCTGGATGACTACTTTGAAATATAAGTGGCCATGCTGGATATGCCAGTTGGTTGAGGGTCTGTACAACTGTCTGAATGGTTTGGATAGCTTGGGTTTAGCTATTTCTTTTTCCTTCACTTCATTATCTGGCTCAGTGGGTGTTGGATCTTCATTTGACTCTCCAAAAGTAACTGGAGTAGGCAAGACAAGTGCCTATTGAGATTCTTCTGTTTCCATATAAATGTCTTTCATCCAGTCATAAGTGGTGTCTACTCCATCTTCAGCAGTGGGTAACCAGCTGGCTAAGATATTGTCCTCTGCTACTGACTGTATTGAAGGCTATTTAGACTTTGTTTTTTGTATTGTTTTGGCTGCCTATTGTGACTAGATGTTGGATAGGGCTAGGCCCTTACTCCTGGTGTTGCTGTTGCAGGTTGCTATAGCTATATGCTGCCTTTAGGCCTTCTCTTTACCATTTTATTGCAGATTTTGGGTGATTTAAAGTGAAACGGAAAGAGTTTTTTTTTTTGATAAATATTATTTTATTTTAAAACTAATATAATTTTTTCAGATTTTATTAATAATAAAAATAAGCAAAACAAAACTTTTTTTCATTCATCACATATTCCTTAATAATTTTTTTTTAGAAAAAAATTTTTTTTGAATGAAAACTTTTGTTAAAGAACTTACAATATACTGGTTAGCAGTACTATATTGTATTCTTTTTGGAGAAATAGTTCTTGTTAATAAAAAAGTTGTAAAACCAAAAACAGCTTCTGTATTCTCAAACAAATTGCCTTGGATAACAAACTGAAAGTATTATTTAACTTCTTAATAATAAAAAGTCAAATAGTATTTCTTATATAGCTAGAAAATACAGGCTAACAAAACATAAAAACAATGTTGATATGGTAAAATATATAATCACAAATAGAAATAAAGACTAATATTCTTCACTCTTTTTTATAAACTTTACTTGTGACACAATATTCAATCAACTGTCTAGAGTTGAATATCTTGTGACTGAATTTCATGTAACTATAATAGATAGCAATAGTAATATTTAACTTGAAAAAGAAAGCAAATAGTTAATCTTAGTTAGAGATTTTTCAGACTAGATAAAGATTATCAAGAAGACATAAGGAGTATAAACCAATCACAAACTAATATAAAAATTACAATAATATACAAACCAGATTTTTTCTTAAAACAATAAGTAGTTTTTTTTCTTTTATAGTTTTATAAATATACCTTATAGGTTTAAGAAGATTTTTCTATAGATTATTATAAATACTTATATGGAAACATGTACATATATTTCTATTTTTACTTTTTTAATTTTAATAGATTTAGTTATAACCAATAAGATATAACTAATTTATGGCTGACTTTGTTTAAATAGTCTTTTAAGTTTCTGTTTATCATATAGTAAAAAAAAACTTAGAAATATATATTCTAACAAGTTAGTTCTTCACCTATGCTATTAGATCTCTGGCATTAATAATATAGAAGGTATGGAGGACAACATAACAATAGATAAATAACTTTGCTATCTTAGATAGTTACAAAGTATATAAGAGAACTCATAATAATATTCAATAAATAAAATATATACTGTATTAGTTATTAAAAAAAAAAATAAGTGAAACAATTCAAAGACCTTTATTACAATTAGTATTAGTATAATAGTATGATTTTAAATCAAAAAAATCACCATATACTGTATATTAACGTACATATCTTAAATCAACAAATATATATAATCTAATAGATATAAGAACAATAGATAATTTAGTTTATATATAGAGAATAATTATAGGTATCAGAATAATTAAATGTTTTTTTTTTTTTAATTATGTAATCAGATTAGTGTTGTTTATTTATTAAATCATAAAGAACCATTACATGCATGAGAATATATGCAAAGTACAAATTTCCTTGACCCAACTCACCCGTCTTTAGCTGAAGCCTCTAGATGCGATTTATAGGAGTGATATATTGTTTTCCTAAAAAATAGAATTAAGATTCTGAACTTTTGATAGGATCAGCACCTGCAGATCACCTCCACAGTCACGACCATAAATCCAAATAATAATTTTAAAAAAAAAACTTTTAAAATAATATAAAACTTTTAAAATCAAATAATTATTTTTTTAATATATATATTTTCATATTAATAGTTTTGCTTATGATTTTATAAATAAAATTTTTTATATTTACTTATAAATAAAAACAAATCTTAAATTATTTAAAATATCAATTTTTATAGATTAATTATATATTTTTTAAAAAAGATATGATTATTTTAATAGAAATATAATTTAAAAAACAGATAAATTTATTAATTTGAATTATAAAAAAATCTTTATGATAAAATTTTTTTTAATAATAAGAAATATTTGAATTATATTTTTATTTTTAATTTAAAAATATATTTTTTAATCATAAATATGTAAAAAAATTTATTTTAAAGAAAGAAAAAAAACAAAAAACATTATCAAAGTTTTTAAATAATAATATTATTAAAAAAGTAAATAAATTTTATTATAAAAAAATATATTAAAATTCTTTTAATATATATGTATATTTAATTTTTATTAATTGATTTATTTTATTTTCAATTAATTAATAAAAAAATTATATATAATATATAATAAATATATTATTAATTTGAATATTATTTATGATAACTAATAAATATTGTTGAAATATAATTAGTCAATTCATTATTGTATTACAATAATCAATTATATAATATTGAAAAAGGTATTAAAAATATAATAAAAAATAAATAAATATATTATATTATGAAACAAATAAATATTTTTTTCTTTATACAATTCTTTTTTTTATATATAGAAATAACCAAAAATCCTACAAAATTCACAAAGTTTCAATTATATCCTAATTGGCTAATGATATTGTGTACTTTACAATATAATTTTTTTTTTTTATAATATAATCACATATTTAATTTATTTAAATAACAATTTTTTAAATATAATATTTTAAGAAAATTTTTCGTGCAGTGATTTATAATCGTTTATTTAATATAATAACTTTTGAATGTTTCAAAAAATCTATTACTTAATAATTTTGTAACAATAATTTTTTTTATTATTTGTAAAAAATATAAATTATTTTTACTATATTAATAAATTTTCACTTATTTTTTATCATTTTTATTAATTACAGCTTTAATCTTTATTTATTTGTTGTTTCTTTGTTTAGAAATTATTGTTTTTTTTTTGTTTATTTTTATATTCTAGACTTATTTTTTGATTCATTAAATGCAAGAGCACGTGATTAAATATTATCGATTGATATTATTCACGTGCAAAAGCGGAATTCATAAATAGTCGAAAACAAGGGTATTTTTCACGAATAATATCCGAGAAGAAAGGAGAATTATAGAACAGGCAAGGAGCGTATAACAGATTTGACGAAGTTTTAAAAGAAGGTATTTGAAAACTCGGATTCTAAATTCTAAAAAATCTATTCCTGTTATAGAAAAACGCCAGCGTTTTACAAAGAAAAGAAAGTGATGGTGAAGAAAGTTCATAGTAAATTCGGAATTGGTTCAATCCCGAAGAATTAAAAAATTGGCGTTACAGGAAAGTAAGACGATAAAAGAAAAACACCCTTGATACATAAAAAAGACCTTGGACTTTAAAGAAATGAATTGTAAAATTTAAAATTGCTTAAAATCCGCAAAAAATATTATTGGTAATAGTACGGATCACAAGCTTCCTGAATTTTTCTTCCAAATCCAATTTCTTCAGAAGTAGATGAAGTTTGTTGAGCATCATAAGGAAAGTGAGTCGAAGGAAAGTACATAGGAGACAGGTATAAAGGTGAATCGCGATGATCAAATTGTGAGGTTGGCGGTACATACAGCGAATTTAACGAATGCGCGGGATTTTGATATAACCAAGAAGCAGTTGAAGAAGATTGTTCCGCAGTCGAAGGACTCGAACATAATACTCTATAACCATCAAATATGGTCTCTCCTCCCGTGGTCTGCATTGTTCCGTGCATATGCATAGGTTCACCAACCGAGGCGTTATGATCTGTAGAGGGCCTGCCCTGCAGTCCAGCATTGTTATCCTTGACTTTAGGTCTCTTTGGAGATTTTGACATTTTTTCATTAATCACTTTGGCCTGCATGGTCAGGTTTTGGTATGTCATCCTAACTTTCGTACTTTCTTTATACCACAGTTTACTTGCCCAAAAGGAAGCGTCCGACATCGTAAGGCAGATGTTTTTTGTTTTTAAATTCGAACAAAGTTCCTTTCGGTAAGTTATGAACGCATTTGGAATTTTTCGTATTTTTCCGCCTTGGAGCTTAGGTAAAAGGTCTTGTGGCTTAAGACGAGGTGGATATGGTGGTTTGATGGATTCCATAAAACTTTGATAATCCTCAGAAGCTTCCGATTGCGGAAAGGGTGGAAGGGGCGAAGTCGATAAGTCGGTGTTCATTAGGTATAAAATTAGAAAGTAGACGAAAGTATGATGTTAAATTTGCAAGAATGAAAGGCACATTCTTTATATGTATGAATTTATTGTTGATGACGTCATTTACATCAAATGGAAACTGAGACTTTTTCAAATCGCGGTAATACCAGATTCAAAGACAGGAAGAAGATTCAAGATATTCTTATTCTGTATGAGATGCGCAGGTTAAATATCCACCACATCACGGCACATCTTTAGGAGACAATGTCTTGGCAGTTATAATATTTTATTAAAAAGTCGCGAAAAAACCACGTGGTGTCCACATTCCTATATTCGATAAAATCACGAGTCATAAAAACGGTTTTCAAGAGACAACATTGATAGTGTACTTTTTTGTCCTTTAACTTTGGTTCAAATGAATGAATAGAGAGAACGTGTCACAATTAATAGAAAGTGGTTACTGAGTATCATATATGAAAAAAGAGGTAACCTTATATGGCAGTTAAGGGAACGGTTTACCGTATTCTTATAAATCGGAAATGTACATCAATATATTTGATTTTATCCCATCAAAACCTCACTTCTTTATTTTTCGATCCGACCAGAAAAAAAAAAAAAGCTCATGTGGTAATTCTTTTCGACAGAGGTTTTCGTCCGATTATACAAAGATCGGACCATCTTGAAAGGAATACCCCCATAAGTGTTAGAACTCCGGACATCCCAATATGAAAGAGCCGACGAAAACACCGTCAAACGAGTAGCACGAAATCATATTCACGCGCGTAGTTTTCAAATACTGTATTTCGGCGGGCTTCTTAACTTGCATGCTGCTAACTTTAGGCACAACGACCGAGGTAATATAACAAGAATAATTTCATTCAAGTGATACAAGTAATATCTATATTACATCAGTGATGTGACCTTGCCTCAAAATTCTCATTCTTAAGCTTTTTAAACGAAAAATTTTCCAAATTGGTGAATTGTAATTATGCACCAACAATTACCCGAGTCTAGCAAGATCAGCAACTCTCGTCATCAATTTTCTCTACGGAATATTGCAAAATAAGTTTATCTACTTACAGTACGACCCGAGTCCTTCCGCATAATTCATTAAAATACCTTGGTCAAAAAACCTTGTCTGTACGATTAAAAAACAAAACTGTTGTAATCGCCTACCCAATTCTTGTATTACTCATTTGAACGAGGATCTTTTAAAAGAATAAGCCAAATCGGTCAAAAAAAAATTTTTTTTCAACATCCTGCATTTCTAGAAAATAAGGTCAACGTTAAGCCGCGGATAAATCATCCATGAAACAATCTGCAATGCGTCTACTTAGAATCGAAAAATCATTTTTACATTGTAGATTCATGTACAAACTAAAACTTTTAAAGAATACAAAATGAAAAACCTTATATTCCCTCCATCGAATTTTCCCATGTAGAATTCATTCTAATCGCAATTTATACAAAATTTTGCATCAAATTTCTTTATAATTGGCATATGCACATTATCTTGAGAGAAAATGGTTTTGGAATCAGGTGTCCTTCGTACCACGGGTAAGTGTCATGCTCACGGAAAACGGTTTGCTCCCGTTTTACCTAACAAATCCGCTATTCTGACACGCCGAGCAGGAAAGGAAACAAGAACCTTTTCAATGGCTGCAATTATAAGGAAATTCTGAATTCCGGACTAATGAAATTGATTACGCGAGAACGACTCCAACCTTACGTAATGTGATTATCATTTACAGTGCACGCACGATGTATTAATGCTATTTGACCAAACACGCAATTATCCACGTAAAAATCATCAAAATATGGTGATGTTATTAATAGGAATAACCCTTGTTTAATTATTTTTAGATATTTGTATATGCAATATTTTTTATATCTCGTATTTTTTTTTTTTCTTTTTTCAAAAATCATTATAAATCATTCAAAATTCTTAAAAATAGACATCCCCATTGTTTTATCTCAAAACATTACTTTGATACACTTTTTTTATAAATCAATAAAATAAGAATTTCTATAAATTATTTTAATGTCGTGATTTGGCAATCGCTTAATTGAAATTTTCTTAAAATATCTTAATTATCACATGATAAAAATGTCAAATAATCTTTCGTTATATGATATGGTATAATAATATTTTGAAAAAATCATTTAAATGAAATAGATAAATGTTATGATTCTATGAACTTGAAAAAATCTAGTTATTTATATACCACATATGATTATTTTTAAAAATAAATAAGCATAAATAGAAACTTAAATTCAACAAAGAAAAAAATCAAGATATTACTATTTGAATTACGATATTTAAAAATGTATTTTCATGCCTATTTAAGAATTTGGTTGTATTTTTAATGCGAAAAAAATATTTTTTAAAAATCACTTATCAGCTAACATATTAAAAGTAATAGTGATATGCTGTGATATTAAAAAATATATTTTAAAAATATATTATATAATGAAAATCATAAACTTTTAACATGATTTTATTAAAAATTTTTATATACTGTACCTACAATATAATATAAATTAAAAATTTTAATAATTAATAAATAAATATATACATATTAATATATAAAGAATAAATATACTTAAAAATTTTTTATAAAATATATTATTAAAATATTGTCTAATTTTTGAAATAAAAATTTATTAAACAGAAACTTATAATATAATAAAAAAATTATAATCTTTATTAATTATTGATTAAATAAGTTTTTGTAAAATTATATAACAATTTATAACAATAGTAACACAATAAAATATGTTATAAATATTAATTTGTTAATAGTTAAATGTATTTTATAAAATCTTGATTTAATAAAAATAAAAAAACTAGAGTTATTATTAATAAAAAAAAATAAACAAATTATATAAAAATTATATTAAAAAAATAATATTATAATAATTTTTTCTTATTAAATATAATCCATAAGTAATTTATATACAAAAATCATATTATAATAAACTTACTAAGTAACATATAGTAAATAATATTTAATTCACAATTATATTATTAATAAATCTTTTTCATAATAATACAAATATATACAGTAGTATTCAAAATTATTTAAAATTTTTTTTAATATATCTAACTTAATAAAAACTTATTTAAATTAAATAAAAATTTAAATTTAAATATATAAATATTATAAAATTATTTTTACTTATAACTAGTTTCAAGATTATATTATTATTATTTTAATAATTATTTTTAATTAAAAATTTTATATTATATATTAATTTTATAATTTAATTTTCAAGTTTTTATATATGTTTATATATGTTTTTTTATAATAAATAATATAAAAATAATATATTTTTTTAAATATAATATTAAAAATATATATATAGTTTGTCTAAAAAGTTTTTAAACAAATTTTTGATTTATATTTTTATTTACAATTCAATAATTAATTAATTAAAAAATAACTTTTATTAAATTTTAAGTTGTTTATTTAATTTTTATAAAAGTAATTTGTATATTATAAAAAACTTTTTATAATTTTTTATAATTTTTTAATGCTTTATTTTTTATATTTTAAAAAAAATATCTTTAAATTTTTATAACAAACAAATAAATATTTATTTATTATAAAAAATATTTGTCC